GAGACACCTTTGGGTAGTGAAGGGCGGGGTATAAATCCAATCTCTTCTTCTTCTTCTTCTTCTTCTTCTTCTTCTTCTTCTTCTTCTTCTTCTTCTTCTTCTTCTTCTTCTTCTTCTTCTTCAATGTGTCCCATTGGCATGCCCAGTGGTGAATTTTTTATACAGCTCCCCAGGAAATCTACCAAATGCTAATGTAGACATGGGAATTTTTTCATCTCTTTTGCTGTCTGATCAATTGCTTTCAAATGACAGGCAGAAAATGAGGTTTTTGAGACATCAGTGTTGCATCCTCCTTTAGTATTTGCTTCTCAAATGCGGCCCTATTGTTGTTATAGAGCCTGAAGAGGAAACAAACCAAACCAAGATAAAGAACAGAAGAAAATCCCCAGTCCTTGAATTGAACATTTAGGCAACAGACTGGACCCAAGGAAGATCCTGCAATCCATACCTGGTTAAAACTTGTTTGCCACACCATCATCTCCTCATTGATGACGAATTCTTTTCCCTTAGGTGCACTTGGATCCACTCTTCCAACTTTCACCCTGAGGAAGGACTTATTTGGGAATGTGATCAAGGTGGTAATGTCAAATCCAGTGCCCATTTCCATCTCACCATTAAAAAACACTGTTTCTTCAGCCGAGTTGTTAAATGAGATGCCTTGAAGAAATGGATGGATCTGTTTGAAAGAGAAAAAACAACACGGACATAATTTTGCTCTTGGCTTACGCTGAGGTATCAAAATGTTTTGTTGTCGTTGTTGCTTCTGCTGCCGCCGCTGCTGTTGATACAACTGTTACACAACTCTATCTGTCCCCAGCTTGGCACTGCCGCTATTTTTCAGCACAACAAAACTGAATATGCAAGGTTTACCTTTTGGGGTCTTCGGCTACTGAAGAAAATGAGAAGGCACAACATTTTATAAATGAATGTTATGTAGAACATCACATTTTCTAGTTATTCTTACAGGGAAAAAGCTTGATTTGAGTCCAGTAGCACCCTAGAGACCAACAAGATTTTTGGGGTATAATTTTATTTATTTATTTGGATTTCTATCCCACCCTCCCCGCAGGCTCAGGGCGGCTTACAGAGGCATAACGCCAGATAAAACAATAAAACAGTATAAAATACTACAGTACAGATTACATTAAATGTTAAATAGTTAAGCAAAATTCATAAAACATTTTGGTGCTCGGTGTTCTCGATGGTATAGCTACTCACAGCGGTGCATATCTCTACTGTTGCCCCTTAGGCACATCCCACTCCCTCCAGTAGTAACCGCACCAATGATGACAATGTATGTGAATTATAGGGCATTGATGGAACAGTGGTGGTGGTGGCTCCTACTCAAAAGCCTGGCGGAAGAGCTCCGTCTTACAAGCCCTGCGGAACTGTACAAGGTCCCGCAGGGCCCGGATCTCCTCTGGGAGCTCATTCCACCAGATAGGAGCCGCCACCGAAAACGCCCTAGCTCTGGTCATCACGAATTTGAGAGCTGACATTTTTTGAGAGTTTTGAGAGTTGACAACTTTTGAGAGTTTACATTTCCTTTCCTTTTCTTTTTTTTAGCTGTTTATTTATGATTTTCAGTATACATCATATCATCGGTTTACATTTCTCATTCTTGTGAGTCATACCTATTATCCTTATCTAACCATTCATAAAATATCTTCCATTGTTTTTCAAATATCTCCTTGCTATTACCTTGTATTGTCAAACTTAGTCTATCCATTTCCACTACTGACAACATTTTATCCAAAAAAAATGGAAAGAAGAAGACATTTCCTTTTCTGATGGGGGAAAATTGTCTCACTTTGTTCCAGATAATAGAATTCTTCCATTGTCTGTTTGGAGTTCCCCATCTAGAGTTGCAAAGTTTTGGCTACTATAATCTATCGATAATTCAATCAACCATAGATCAGCTGAGATAGACACAGAGAGAGGCTAAAATATGTGCCCCAGAGAGCTTTATGCTCAGCAGGGAAACATCGACTGGAAGTCCCCGGCCCAAAAGACACCTGCCTGGCCCTGACTAGGGCCGGGGCTTTTTCCGTCCTGGCCCCAGTCTGGTGGGACATGCTCCCAATTGAGATCAGGGCCATGCAGGGTTTATTACAGTTCCACAGGGCAAGTAAAATGGAGCTGTTCTGCCAGGCTTTTGCCTAACTGGTGGCCATCCATTCATTTAGGGTTTAGGCCCTTCCTGACCACACTGCCCTCAAATCACCTTATGGTGCAGATGGCAGTCAACACCATCAAGTACAACGAGACGGTTTATCATACTTTTGCCTGCCTGATCTTCATAATATCCTGGAATAAACCAAGTAAATGAAAATTCATATTCAGTTGCACAATTGTCTACTGCTGGCCTACCATCTGTGTTTTATTCAGGATTCTCATTGTTATGGTTTTAAGAAGCTGTTTTATTGTTTATATCTCTGTTGTGACCCACACTGGGCCCACTTGCAGGGGAGGGTGGGATGCAAGAATATAATAAATAAGTAAAATATGGGAGCAAGTGTCCTTAGACAAATAATGCATCTTTTTTATGGTTATACTAGGTGCAACTCAATGGCACAGCTTTTGAGCTTTAAGCCTCTGAACAGCTGAGGTTCAAAGAATATGAAAGTCCACCTCCTTCCCTATCAATTGGCCTGAAACATTAAATACATTGGAAAAATTTTAATGAAGGACTCTGCCTTTTTCAAGGTGAGAATAATACCTTGCTCTACCACCCTCTCCCGCTGTGAAATTTCTGTTCTCAAGAGATGAAGTCTGAAGGCACTCTTTGTGTGAATGGTCCTTGAATGGATTGATCGCTGATGGTGCCATGATCTTCTTGTAGTATCTTTTGGGCAGGTTTAAAAGATTTTAATATTGTTGTCAGCTGCCTATTTATGGGGCCAAACTCAACAAGCTCACCACAAACACACAAAACACACATATAAGTATAAATAAACCCATCAATAGATCTGTTCATGGCAAGGAAGCGATTTTATTTGGAGACATTACCTGCCAAGGTTGAAGATCTTGAAGTGCAACTCGTTTGCAGTCCACAAGTGGTCTGCTGTTGGGTTTAGATGAGCACATGACATGCAAAGCATGGGCCACAGCATAGACAGCATTATAGATACTGTAGCTGTGGCCAGTCATGTACGTTTCAAACACAGGCCCGGGGAGACTCTCCAGCCTTTCCTCACCAGTACACATTTCATTGATTTGCAATGCCCCCTGGGGATTTGGAAATGTACAGTCAAATGCTTGTTCCCAGAAATCCTTGAGAAAACCATCTCCTTGCGTCGAGTAAGGATTTCTATCCTGAAGAAATGCATGGAATCCTGAAAGCATATTTGAGTGAATCATGAAGGAAATGGTACCGTGGTAGAACTGGAAATCCCAGGATCTTTGAGGACCTGATAATGCAAAATCAACTTGGGCTGTCATGATCCACACCTTTCTAAATGAAATATTTTCCTTGTAATCAGGATTGGCCAAAAACAGGAAAGTATTAAGTGCCATAATGGTAAAAGATTCTCCATAGAGCACATATGTCCTGGCCTTGCTGTTAGTGAAAGGGAGATATACTCGGTTAATTAAATCAAATATGTCATCCAAGTTATGCCAGTGGTCCTGATTTAAGAGTCTTTCTGTGAATGCCAAGCAGATACCGTGCTTGGAAAACAATGGTTTCAGCACCTCCAAGAAATGATCTCCACTGTCATCATCCACAGCAAAGAGCCCAATCCACCTCCATCCAAAATGCTGAAGCAATTTGATAATCCCCGTATACTGCTGAGCTTCATTTGGGACCATGGAGAAAAAGGAAGGCAAATCTCTTGGATCCTTCACTTTTGGGGCAAATGAGCCATAGGTGAGCTTAAAGGAAATATGCAGATATTTTAGAAAAAAATTGAAAGGAGAACCTGCCTGTGTACTCTTGCCTGTTTAAAGGAGGAAGATTGGAGTTTAGAGAGGCTTTTTAAAAAAAATCTAATTTTAATTTAATTATCACAACTGGTGGCAGGGCAGTTTCTTTGAAATGATTATAACAAAGAAATCTACTTAAAGCACCTTACTCTACTGTATACCTGAAACACCCCCTCCACACCCAGCCCAGTAAGTAAATTCTTGTTTGGGCTTCTACAATGCAACAGGAAGACATTACTTTTCTGTCATCCATACCTCTCCCTCCTTCTGAGCCCCAGAGTGACTCAAAAAAGGGAATGAAAATTAGTTCTCAAATCATCGATAGTTCCATTCATAGAGTCTACCTGTGGAATCTTGTAGAGACCTAAGAGGCCTGCCATGTAGGAAGAAACTTCCAAGCTAAGTCCTCCAATGACAGCTATTAAGTTTTTCTGAATATCACATTTATAATTGGGAAAATATTTATGCAATGTATAGAGGAGATCCAGAGAGGAACGATAGGTCATTCGAACATCATTGTAGGAGTCATAGATGTGGAACCCGAGACTGACATTTGGCAAGATCTTCAGGTTCTTGTTGATCTCCTTAACAGCAAACGTCAAGGCCACGAGATGTTGGTAGAACTTAGTCACTATACTTTCAAAAGAGAAAAACACTTTTTGTTGGAGTGTTTTACAATGCATAGTGTCATTTTACTAGTAGTTTTATCAATTCTGGCTGTGATTTAATTCTCCCAAGAACAGGATATTCTTCCATTTTTATTGATAGTTCTAAATTGATGTTCTCTGTTATTGTCCAAAAAACACTAATTGCCCATCTGGAAAAAAAACCCAACACTGGTTTCATTTGTGGAGCAATGCCATCAAGAATGTTCCCAGTGTCCCTATTGAACAATGTCTTTTTCCATTTTACAGCACCCTGCCCTGTTAAATTATTGCCTCTACTTTGTCCCTATTTGTGACATCTGATAATAGGTTTTATGATTTTTGTGTGAATATGTATTTTTATATATGTTTCTATGTGTGTGTGTATCTGTTGTGAATTTCTGGAGTTGCCTTTTCCCAGCATTCACTATTCCCTTCTCGCAGTCGGGGGAGTGGATATTTCTTATCTGAAATATCAAACTGCATATACATGCACACTAAGGCTATGATCCTAAGAGCACTTATTTTCTAGTAAGTCCCATAGAATATAATGGTATTTACTTCTAAATAGACCTACTTAGTTATGCTTCCTAAGACATTGTGCAATGCACCACATACTACCTAATGAACTCCAGTTGCTGGTATAAATCTTAGGGGAATTCTTTGAGCACAAAGAACAGGCATCCTCTTTGCTATAGCTTACAGAACTGTGTTACAGCAGTGTGTCTGTATGGGAGCATTGTTCTGATTGGCACATTGCAAACATGGCCCTGTTCTTGTCTAGAAATATTCAGCTGCTCTGTGAAAGAGTTGCTCAACCATTTGGCTCAGTTCATTTAAAAAATCCATATAATATTTTATCTTCTTTCTGTGTTGAACATACAAATATCTTAAATATCCTTAAACCATTTTTTCATATAAACACTATACAATATAAGGTAGAACACACAATAGTACAGCCTGTGATTCAGTGCATCGAGCAGATTCTAAATAAAGTAAATAGGTCCCATCTTGTCAATTCAATTCAATTCAATTTGATTTCTTACGATCAAAGATTAGCAAATACCTTAAAATGTTACATATAGTTATCTTGTCAACATTCCGGGAGATCAGCAGCTTATTAATTCACGAAACATCATGAACACTGAAAAAGTCAAACTGAATATCCTGTTGTCTGTTCCAAGAACTGAAAAGGGTTCCCAATCATCAGAGAAGTAAGCATGTTTTGCTATCCTCTCGCTCAACATAATCAACTCAATAAATTTAGATATTTTTGCCAACTCCCATACTTTACTTATCCAAGCCTTAACATTTAAACATTCTGTTTTCCCAGTTTTTAGCTAACAGCAGCTTGGCAGCCATCAAGAAATCTAGAACTGTACTTTTATGCATTACAGGTACATCTCTGGGCAAAATCCCCAATAAAAAACATTTTGGTCTGTCTACTTGGGATATTCCTAATTTTGGTTTAATTTGGTTTAAAACATGTTTAATATTAATGGAAATCTGACATCAAAGTGTTCTTCCCATCAAATAATAGCTGTTATGAGAATATAGTGTAGAGAGAAATACATTTATTTATTTGGGGGGGGGGTTTGTTCAGAAAATGTATCTGCCACCTACTTGAAGCTGCTCATGAAGTGCTATAAGGGTGTAAGTAACTCATGGAGACCCTTCATGGGGTCTTTCAAGGCAAGAGATGAGCCAAGGTGGCTTGCCATTGCCTTCCTTTGCATAGGAACCTTGTCTTCCTTGGTGGTCCCCCATTCAAGTACTAACCAGGGTTAACCCTGCTTAGCTTATGAGATCTGAAAAATTCAGGCTAGTTTGGACTATTCAGGGAAAAGCAGGTAAAATAATTAAAATTAACAAAAGCACAGTCATTAAAACCCCAACTCAAATGTGAGTCATTTCAACATATTTTGCAACTCCTTCCAATCTTCTTACACATTCAGACACCCACCTTTATCAGTATTATATTTTAAGATTTGTTTTACATCTGTTGCCGAAGCATGAATCTGTACAGAAGTTTCCTTTTCAACCCTGTGGCTTTATCACAGATATTCCCTATATCTCCAATTTCTATAGTCTGTCATATTTGAATTCTGAAAAGTTTTCTCTTTCCC